TCGTTTGTGATTTGTTTAGGAAGACCAAACCAGCTCTCCCGAACATTCATTATGCCTGTGAAAAAGAAAAGAAAGTCATCCGGCTCAGAAGACCCCAGCATCAGAAAGTGCAAAATCAGCAGGTACAAATATTTGTTTGTTTCTCTCCGCATCTTTTACTCTTTCATACATCAGTCACTGTATCGTCACCTCTTTAAAATCCAGTTACTGTAGGACACAAACCTCAGGACGGCTGGTAAACCCAGATGATCAGTTCTCTAGCAAGAAATGTCTCGCCTGGTTTTACGAATATGCAGGTACATAAATCAATACTTTTCCTTACTCACATGCAGCCTTTTCTTAAAGTCTACATGAGACGTTATTAATGTGGAGCATTTCAAAGTGAAACTAATGGAGTAGTTCACCCAAAAATGACAATTTGCTGAAAATGTCCTCACTCTCAAGGCCATCCAAATTGTAGATGAGTTTGTTTCTTCATCAGATTTGGAGAAATGTAGCTTTACATCACTTGCTCAGCAATGGATGCTCTGCAGTGAATGGGTGCCGTCAGAATGAGAGTCCAAACAGCTGATAAAAACATCACAATAATCCACACCACTCCAGTCCATCAGTTAACATCTGGAGAAGTAAGAAACAAAGCCATCATTAATGCTACATTTCTCCAAATCTGATGAAGAAACAAACTCATCTACATCTTGGATGGTCTGAGCGTGAGCACATTTTCAGCACATTTTCATTTTAAGGTGAGCTATTCCTTATTGAGCTGGTTTTAAATCTCGTTTAGGTTCAGATGACATTGTCGGACCGGAGAGCATGGAGAAGTTCTGCGAGGACATCGGAGTAGAGCCTGAAAATGTTAGCAAAGCCCCTCCATATATTTCATAGTAAATCCTAATGTTAGGTTTTAGGAACGCTCTTCTGTCCAAAAGACGAGAAATCACTTGAAATAATGCGCACTGTGTTTTTGTGATCTTTCAGATTGTAATGTTAGTTTTAGCCTGGAAACTTGAAGCAACAAATATGGGATTTTTCACAAAAGAAGAGTGGCTGAAAGGAATGACGTCACTACAGTAAGATTGAGCTTCACGACACATGCCTTGAATATCATGAGAAATCATTCCAGCAGAAGACTTTATTATATTGGCAATTGAACTCTTCTGGTCTGTCTACAGTTGCGACTGCACAGAGAGGTTACAAGGCAAACTGGATTATATGCGCTCTCAGCTGAATGACCCGACTATATTCAAGAGCATTTACAGATACGCCTTCGACTTTGCCAGGGTGAGAGGATTTCTTTAGTGGGACAAAAATTCACTTTTTTTTCCCATTTTAAGATCAGTTAAAGGGGTCATATGATGCGATTTCAATTTTTCCTTTCTCTTTGGAGTGTTACAAGCTCTTGGTGCATAAAGAAGATCTGTAAAGTTCCAAAGACTAAAGTCTCAAATCCAAAGATATAGTCTTTATAAAAGTTCAGAGTCAGCCACGCCTACCTAAAACGGCTCGTTCTAACACGCCCCCACATGTCTACGTCACGATGTGGGAAGATTTGTATAACGCCGCCCAAATGTTCACGCAAAGAAAGAAGGCGTAACTTTTATTCTTGCTGTAGTGTTGATGTTGCCGCTGCCATGACGTGAAGGCGCTGTGTGTTCCGTTGTGAAAGCGAAACTACTTTGTTTGGTCTTCCAAAAGAGGACGATATCCTCTTCGTCATGCCTAGAGCTGATCCGTGCTGGTCGCTGAGGGAATACATCAACTTTGCTGTGGATGGCTGGATCGGCTTTCACCGTGGACGAAGCGGAGTCCAGCCCGGGGTCGTCACATGTGGTTGCCGCAAGCCCTCCGGACGCTCCTTCGTCGAATCCGCCGGCCGCGCTGTTCTCAAGCCCGCCACCTCCGCTCACTCTAGGCCGCTGTGTGTGACGCTGTGTTTCGTTGTGAAAGCGAAACTACTTTGTTAGACTATATAAAGTATAAGTCATCATAATCAGTAATCATGTCCCCACTGGATGCAACAAATGCCTCGTTTGTAATGGGTTTTAATGTTTTTGTCTCATCGCTCCGGCCGGGACACGGCATCACAGTATGGTACAGGAGCGTAACATTTCCGTCACACGTTTGAGATATTCGGCCAATCACAATGCACTGGATAGCTGGCCAATCAGAGCGACCGATGAGCTTTGTAAAAATCGACGTGTTTCAGAAAGGCGGGGCATAGAGGAGAAACAATAATGTACAGTATGTGGAAAATAATGTGTTTTTTTAACCTTAAACCACATAAACACATTGCATTACACCAAATACACCAAATAATGTTCTTTTTAGCAACATCATATGACCCCTTTAAACATTTTAGGATAAAAATCACTTGCTTTTTATCTATATAGAATTTGCAGTCAATTTTGTCTACTTATGGATGTCTTTTATCTTACAGTAGGTATAGAAAGAATCACCTCCTTTAAAATAATCACATTTTGTTGCTTTGCAGCCTGAAATGAAGACGGACACCGTTTTTGTTTTATGCAGCTGTACATTCTTTTCTATAAACACTGTATTTATCCGGTTTTATATGTAGGATAAAGATCAGCGCAGTCTTGATATGGACACTGCAAAATCCATGTTGGCACTTCTTCTTGGAAGGACGTGGCCTCTGTTCCCAGTGTTTAATCAATTTCTGGAGGTGTGTCATCTTTTTCTTCAAATCAGATTGTCTGTCAAGCTCCAAAACAGCACCGTAAAACCAGCTTACTTTTTTCCCAAGGAGCGCATGTGCTCCTAATTCGAAAAATGTAAGAGCACATAAAGACCTTTAGGGATGCAATGAAAATGTATCAAATCATTTGTATTTCCTTGATAAAGGGATACAAAGAGACATTTACATGTACTTTTTGTTTATTTGAATACAAAAAGTACACTAGGTTTTTAAATATTTCTGCTTTATGTATTTATTTAATAATTATGCAATTATTTATATTTTGAATGTTGAATTAAATGCCAGATACGTTTGCATAACTAAAACGCCAATAATAATCAGTAAAAAATGTTCCGCATTAATATGGGACTTTTAATTATAACCAAGCCTGAAATACACAGAGACTTTTTTTACTACTGCATTCAAACTGCACAAAACATATTACAGTATAAACACAGTATAATAGTGCAGTATTCATTTAATGTAAGCACTTTGAAACTGCAAGCCTGCAGAATCTGCAACATTGCTGCTTTTTTGCTCATATTTATTGAATTATACCATCGCCTTTAATAATAAGTAATCGTATTAAGCTTTATTGTGATTCCTGTTTTATGGCCCAAAATTTAAGACCTCTTAAAATCACAATGAATATGTTTGTTATATCATTCAAGATGTTTTACGGCCTTAAATAAAAATAAAAAAAGACTTGTAAATGCATTGTACACTTTGCACGCATCTATTTTTGGTCGTAAATGTAATGAAACGTTCACACTGTCAAGCACTTATAAAAGTAGTCCATTTAAAGCCAAACTGAACCTTATGAAACTCTGAATTTAGTAGTAGTAGTTTATTCTTTAATAATGTTCTGTAAAGGAGTGTTATAGCTAACAGAATCGTCTCTCTCCTCTAGCAATCAAAGTATAAAGTCATGAATAAGGACCAGTGGTACAACGTCCTAGAGTTCAGCCGCACAGTTAACACAGACCTGAGCAACTATGATGAAGACGGAGCGTGTAAGTGTGATGGGTTTTCTTCTCATGTTCTCTTATGAGATGCTTCTCAGTTGAACTGCTGCTGATCTCTGTCTGTGATTTCAGGGCCAGTGATGCTGGATGAGTTTGTGGAGTGGCATAAAGCCAGAATTGCATTATAGCACAAGCAGACGCTTGTTGGTTTTCGGTGTGCCCCAGACGATGGCATACCTCTCGAGGACTGCTTCAACATGTCTTACATCACTACCCAGAGACTCTTACAGTGTTACTTTAAAAGGAAATGGCACAGAGGAATCACAAGACAAAAGGGGAAATATTTTTCATATGTACTGAATTTGTTGCTACAGTTATATTGCCAGTGTTATATGAATTTTCTGAAAGGCGGAACACGGTCTGTTTGTAATTTCCTTTCATTTTTTTTCTCTCCAAGTTTTACTTTGTTTATAGTGTTTTGAAAAGGAAATAAATAAAGCAGTTGTAAATTAATTTATCTTCTAGACTTTACTGGCTTGGCATTCAGCACTGTTGGAGCAATGAAGTGTTTTTCATCTAAATCTAAATGTAGCGTAAATAAAAAGATTTACTTTGCATACACAAACACACAAAAGTTTGGAGTCAGTAAGATTATTAATGTTTTTGAAAGAAGTCTGTTATGCTCACCAAGGCTGGATTTAAATATTTGATCAAAAATACAAAACAATTGTGAAATATTATTACAAATTAAAATATTTGTTTTCTATCGGAATATTTTACATTTGAATGTATTGCTGTGATCAAAGCTGAATTTTCAGCAGTCACGTGATCCTTCAGGAATCATTATAATATGCGGATTTACTGCTCATGTCTGATTATTATCAATGTTGAAAACAGTTCTGCACCATATTTTTGTGAAAACTCTTTATAAAAATTTTTATAGGAAATTTAAAAGAACAGCCTTTATTAGAAATAGACATTTTTTGTAACGTTATAATGTCACTTTTGATCAATTTAATGCATCCTTGCTGGATAAAAACAATCTTACTGACCCCTTATATATTCTGATATTTGCATCAAAATTACTACTTTTGAACAGGTGATTATATTGCCTATATACTAAATGAGATGTAGACAAAAATAGCTGAATTTAAATCTACACTTGATAAGGCTGTTGGGAGATTTTGACCCAAAAAAAAGCCAGAATGATGCATAAATTAACTGTTCAGTCAGATCCAGCTATCAGACAATAGCGATAATCTCAGAATGGCACTGGTCTAACTAATCAGCCTGGTCTAACAAACTAAATTACTCTGTGAGTGATCTTTCCAGTGATCTCTTCATGTCTCTCGGCCTGTTTGTGAGTCTCTAGTGTCTCCTTCTGTAGCTGTAGGGTCTGGTGGAATGGTCTGGCCCTCGGTCGACTCTACGGCTGGGTTGAAGTCTAGAGCTTCTGCTTGTTTCATGATGGCACTGAGTCGCGTCAGTGACCTGGTCCTCAGTTTGGGCCTGACCTGGTCTTCAGCCTCCATCCCAGAGTCTTTGATGTGGCTGTATGGATTCCCTTCTTCATCATAGTTGTAGATTTTAATGACGCGGATCTTCTTCTTTGGATGTGGACTAACCGCTGATCTCGACTCTTGGGTTTGTTCTTCTGCTTCACATCGCTGAGGCTCATTTCCTGCATTATCAACATCCATGCGTTCCTGATCAACCAAACCAATGTCCACAGTGTCTTCACCATTGTTTTGGTTTTTATGGAAGGACACTGTCTCATTTAGTGCACTGGAGGTTTGTAAGTTCTTCTGTCCATTGATGTGATGGTCTTTTCTATAAGGCACACTGGCCCATATCGTTCGTAGACACTTTATGACATAGGACCTACTGAACGCACCGAGTGTGAAGGCCACTAAAAAGCTCATGATCACTGAAGATGTCACAGCCGCCACGAAATGGCTTTCTGACACTGTGTCGGCGTGAACCTCTGCCTCCCTGGTCTTCCTCTGCCCTTTCTTGATGGCTGCTATGTTAATTCTATAAGGCACAATTGTTCTGCTCATCTCGTCCAGACGGACACAGAAATAGAGTCCATCATGGCTGGATGTGGCTCTTGAAATCCTCAAAGTGCCATTGCATGTTTCCACTGGGTCTGTTTTGCTGTTTTGGTGGTTACAGCCGTCAAACAGGCCGAAAGGCGTCTGCCACCACTGCGCCAGCACTGCGGAGAGAAGAATTCAACAATCATGACTAAACAGACACTTTTCACAGCTTGAAACAATGGTCACTTAAAGGCACTTAAAATTCATGAAACATTCATCCACAACTAAAGCTAAAATCATTAAAAAAATAAACGAATAAATAAAAAGTTAACCCAAATCAAATCAAATAAAATAAAAACAGTTGCTAAGGCAACATTTCAGAACTTAAATAGAATTTAATTAAACTATATAGACAAAAAAATAAATAAGAATTACTAAAACGTTTACTAAAATGGAAATGAAAAAAATAGAAACATAACAACTAAATTAAAATATTAATAAAATTTATACTGGTGTCTCAATAGTAGTAAAATAACACTGGGTCAAACTAAAGGTATAAGGCAAGGCAAGTTTATTTATATGGCACATTTCATACACAATGGTAATTAAAAAAAATCACATTAATAAAAGCAAGGAATTACATTCTAAAAAATTTTTTTTTTAATTATTTAAAATGAAATTAAAACAGTTAAGAATAGAAAATGAGGATAGATAAATGCAGTGCAATCAGTTGTTTTATTTTATATGAGGTTTTTATAGTTATTTTATACTTGTTGCATTATTTTCTGTTAATAGGTATTCTATCTATGTAGATAAATAAATACATAAATAGATATACACTTTGTGTGTTTGTGTGTGTGTTTAAAATTAATACAAACGACACCAAGATGTGTAATGTAGTTTTGTCTAAATTTAGCGTAAATTAAGCTGTTATTTAGTGTGGCTATTTTGGGAGCAATGTTTTTTTTTTTGTAAGTCATTAATCAACTCAAATTTCCCATAAATTATTATAATTATTTTTACAGTAACTTTGGAGTTGAATGGTTAAGCATGATGAATTCAGTCAACACTAAAATGTGTTAAAAACATAAAAAAAATGTATGTTTGTCTGTATTTAATAATTAAGAAAACGTAATAAGACTTTTGAACTTCTTGCAGAAGTAAATGAATGTGTTTGTGTGCCGCTCACCTTCATCTCCCTCATCTCCGCACTGAAGCGTCAGCGTTTGTCCTGGATGAATGTGAACTGAGTTTTCAGGCCTGACCTGCAGATGCTTTGTCTGACCCATCAGAGTCTCCCGCGACTGTTCAGAGTTTCTCTCATGTGCTGCAGTTTTAGATTTGAAACCAGTGACACACAGAGGATCCCAGAGGACAATCAAAACCAGCAGAGAATTGATTCTCAACTCCATGGCGTCTAGAAGAAAATGTTCATTAACTACAATGTGTTTTTAGTAACCTTGACAGCTATTCCCAATAGTATTTCATTATTAATAATTAAATAAATATTATTACATAATTACATAAATTCTTTGACCAAAGTAAGACATATTATATATTTATGTACAGCAGCCCCAATGAGTACAAAGTTCCTAGTATGTGTCAAATTAGAGAATTTCTCACTGCTATCATTTGAAGAATGAAATACATTTAAAACCATGCAGATATATGCCATAAAGTATAGATCAGCCAGCCAAATACTCACAGAATGAGTGTTGAAGTCTGTAGTTTTCTCTATGAGAGGAGTAAAGTACAGTCCTCACATGACAGCTCTTATATTTCATCTCGTGCTCCATGTTTAAAGATTAACATTTTTCTCTTCAGTAATAGACAGGATGTCATGTGGATGAAAATGCCAGTGGATGTTTTCCAAATGTTTGAGTTGATATCATAACAGAGTCGGTTTATGGTTGCACAATATTGAGTTTTAGCCAATTAGTTACATTCTTTGCCACTGTGCTACAATTATGAAGAGGAACAAATGGAAAATTGATAATTAATCCAGCACTGTTATTTTAGAAAATAAACATTTGATTGTTTCCATTCGGTGCGATACAACAGCAGAAAAGTCATATTTGGTCATGCTGATGATACATTTCTGTCAGTGGTGCATCACCTAGATAGGCTGTGGAGAGCAGGGAAAACAATGCTTAAAGGGATAGTTCACCTTCAGTTGCTGGTCTCCATTGACTTCCATAGTATGGGGGAAAAACACTGCAAGTCAGTGGGGACCAGCAACTGAAGGTGAACTATCCCTTTAATACAAAGAAAGAAATAAGGGTTTTCCTTTTGTTGTTGATGTCAAAGTGTGCATATATACATACTTTATGCATTTCAGAACAAATTTATTCATGACGCTACTAATAATTTGGCCCAGTGTTTGATCTATTTTAATGCATTTGAAAGTTGTATTTTAAGGACATTTTGTTAATTTGGTTCAGTAAACAAGTTTTAAAACTACTGTAAGGTGTAAGATTTGGGTCCTGAAGCAGTTGAGAACCACTGATTTAGATTTACATATTCTTATTCTTATATTTCTTTCTTTTCATAAGGAAAAGGGAAAGAGAAAAATGTCTTTCAGTCCATTGGTCTAAATGCGTAGTAATTCAAATTGTTTCCAAAGTTCAGTAGTTGCTGATCTTGTATGGATGTGGCAGATCACGCCGCCCGCCAGTTTTCAGAAGATTCACACAAAAACGCAAAAGTAAATTCGGCCCAGCATTTGATTAAATGAAATGAAATTTGATGAACTCATCGTGACCTGCGCTGCGAAAAGTAACAGGTATCACGGGACACTGTATGCCATCCAGCCTTAGGAAGGAAAGGAAAGGACGTGACGTGTGGCCTAGTATGGTGTCCCATACTTGGAATTTGTGCTCTGCATTTAACCCATCCAAGTGCACACACACAGCAGTGAGTAGTGAACACACACGCGCACACACACCGTGAGCACACACCCGGAGCAGTGGGCAGCCATATTGCTGCAGAGCCCGGGGAGCAGTTGGGGGTCCGGTGCCTTGCTCAAGGGTCTCACCTCAGTTGTGGTATTGAGGGTGGAGAGAATGCTGGATATTCACTCCCCCCACCTACAATCCCTGCCGGACCTGAGTCTGGAACCCGCGACCTTCGGGTACCGTCCGACTCTGTATCCATTAGGCCAACAACTGCCCCCCCACCCTTTTTTAAATTAATTTTTATTGTATTTTTTTTAAGTTAAGGAAAAGAGGTTACGTAGGGTAATCGTTTTTACTTTTTTATTTTATTATTATTATTATTATTACCCGAGTAGAGCTAGCTTCCAGTCTGCCACGCCCGTTTTTAACTGCATCACACAGTAATCGCAATTCTGCCTGCAGCCTGCTCGTTCAGTTCTACAGCGAGCCTCATTACAACATTCACCACACGGTGGCAGCAGGAACCTTGAACATCAGCATAGTGCGCTAAACTATACGTTTCGTGATTTTCTTTGCTGGATATAGAAAACTGGATCCAAAATGACAGCTAAACCCTAAAGAGCGAGTAAAAGGCCATCGTGTTTCTCAGAAAAGTTTGATTCTGTGGCTCGATAACCATTTCCAGCCTGTGTTTCCTCTCTGATAAATGTTGCAGAAACACAGCTAAGGCCCCTCCCTCAGACTCAGAGCCCGGAGATCATGAACCACACGAGGAAATAGACACAAACGCACAGGCCGTGGACATGCGTGTGTGCACCATATGGAGCAGTAAACCTTAAGAAGCAGCAGTTCGTTCCTCAAACAGGAAGAGTTGTGCAGGTAAATGACGGCGTTTAAGCTTCTTGCAACGTTTCAGATCATGTTTACTGGGGTATTTTTCTGAGGTGTTCAGTCTAAAAAGAGCCAAAAGGCACCCGACCGCGAGTGAGTGTTTCTGTTGAGACGTGTGTGTGTGTGTGTGTGGAATGTTGAAAAGTTACACTGTAACACTCTGTAATGAACTTGATACGTTCAAACAGTTCACAGAGTTCTGTGTTCTTGACACGTTTGAATAGGAAGATTTGTTTAAGTTGTGGTTTCCAAGCCTGAAAAACACATGCATGAAGTGCAATATCTGTAAAATAGTTTTTAAAACTCTTATCCAGTTATCACAAACATTCGCAAGAACTATGGGGACCTTGATTTAGTCCATTTGACACGATGTACATTTTTTCCCCACATATTTTACATTCCAAACGTTTTTTTTTTTTTTTACAAAAACATATTGTCCTTCTAACAATAAGACATGTTTATTGGTACTCAACCAAAATTAACTTTGTTTATGGTTGCAGAACTCTTTTGTTCAGTCATTCACAAAAAGTTGAGCTTACACTGGGCCCAAAAAGTGTTTGGAAGCTCAAATGACACTTTGGAGCAGTGTAGGGTAGCGCTCATTTCTCCGATCATAAATGCAGACATGGTTTTATGTTTACGCGGCGCAATATGCAACGCAAAGCGTAAAAAGTCATTACAATCAGTAATTATGTCCCCACTGGATGCAACAAATGCCTCGTTTGTAATGGGTTTTATTGGTTTTGTCTCGTCGCGCCGGACACATGGAAACCATAGACTGTATGATGGAAACACAGTATGGTGAGGGGCGTAACATTTCTGTCACACACTTGAGGTATTCGGCCAATCACAATGCACTAGATAGCTGGCCAATCAGAGCACACCTCGCTTTTCAGACCGATGAGCTTTGTAAAAATCGACGCATTTCAGAAAGGCGGGGCATAGAGGAGAAACAATAATGTACATTATGTGGAAAATGTTTTGTGTTTTTAAACTTTAAACCACGTAAACACATTGCATTACACCAAATACACCAAATAATGTTCTTTTTAGCAGCATCATATGACCACTTTAAAAGACATTGAGCATAAATGAGGAAAAGTGAAGTTAACCCTGTAAAACATATTAAATAATAAAAATCCTTTTTTTTTTATTAAATGGAACAATTATTGAAGTTTTAGGGGGAAATTGCACATGATTTTTATGTATCATTTTTAATATTTAATTATTTTGTTAGATTATGAAGCTCAAACTCAAGCAGGAGTTCAGGAGTTCAGAGGCTCAAACTGAGCAAAAATATGCAATTTGGTGCAGATGCTGATATTTATGTGGGAAAAAATGTAAATCAATGAGATCTTTATAACACTATAGTTGTCACTCTATATCTCCTAGTATATACAACACGTATATAGTGATGATGATTGAGATAATAAATGTTCCTCAAAAGCCTGATAATCATATTTGATACTCGCATCTTGTATATGATAAAAAAAAAAAAAAAAAAGTATGGATAATCAAGTAAACCTTAGTTGCGTCAGTCCAGTAAGTGTTCTTCTTAAAATATTAAGAGATTTTAGCACAGATGATGCATGTTTTCTTTTTTTTAATGCAATGACAGTGACCCATTTTAAGCGTCCAGAAAATTTCTGAGGCCTTTCAAACTATGTCAACAAAGACGCACCCTCTGGAAAAACACTATGCCGTCGCTGACTCATTATCATGATCCTGATTGTCCAGAATGAAGATCCATGTGTTGTGAAATAGTGTTTGTCTTCAGAAACCTGGATCTTTTGTGCTTTCAGTGTGATGGTGCGGTTCTGTAATTCCGGTCTGGATGGGTGTATGGTGTCTTAAACAGATTAATCTGAGCTCTGTATCGATCTTTTCTCTCTCACAGTCGTGTCTAATGCTATTATGGTTGTGTGCAGATGTGAATGGGGTTCGTCTTTCATTTGTAAATCCTGCAGGACGACCCATGGTGTTCCGTCAAGAGTGATGAACACCAGAGCAAAAAGCAGAAGCGTACCGTAAACTTAAAGGAGGGGCCAGTCGTGCTTATCAGATGCTTAGAGACAATTTCTCAAATTTTTTCCTCTTTTTGGATGTTCTGGTTTGACGGCGTGATACTGACTCATGTCTCACTGCTCATGTGGCTTTTAGATGTGTTTTGCATGAATGTTAAACAGTTTTACATAAGGAATAGTTCCCACCATGTCATTCCAAACCCATATTATTTTCTTAAGGCAAGACATGCAGGCAAAACCATTGCTTTTCAGGCATTGGTCAATTTTGAGTTGTTTTTTTTTTGTTGTTGGCTATTTTGCTTCCATAACATGTATTCTTTTTAGACCAGTGGAAAGAAAACACCCAAAATACACATTTAAGTATTTAATTGTTTATATTTATTTATTTATTTTTTATTTGAAACCTATTCACCGAGTGCGTTGCCATAAACCCAAATAATTATATTTTACACAAAAAGAGATGTTTGGCAGAATGTCAGAGCTTCTGAATTTTGGGTTTTCATTTTTGTGTTTGCTTAAACATTTGCACTTTATTCTTAAAGGAATAGTATACCCAAAAATCGAAGTTTGCTGAAAATGTCCTCACCCTCAGGCCATCCAAGATGTGGATGAGTTTGTTTCTTCATCAGATTTGGAGAAATGTAGCATTGCATCTCTTGTTCACCAATGGATGCTCTGCAGTGAATGGGTGCCGTCAGAATGAGAGTCCAAACAGCTGATAAAAACATCACAGTAATACACACCACTCCAGTCCATCAGTTAACATCTGGAGAAGAGAAACGCTGCATTTTTGTAAGGAACAAATTCATAATTGAATGTCCTCTATACATAATAACGCTTCCTCCAGTGAAAATGTGGTCTGGTCTGAATCAGGAGAGAAATCTGCACAGATCAAACACTGTCTACAAGCCAAAACAGCTCTAAACAAATACGCGGCTGGATTTTGATGTGAGAGACAACAGGAGAAGGACTTTTTCACTGGAGGAAGAATTATGGATAGTGGACTCGTATTTTGGCTGGAAACTACGGATTGAAGTTAAAAACATCTTAATGATGGATTTGTTTCTCACAAACATGCAGCTTTTGGCTTCAAAAGACATTAAAAGGATATTTCACCCAAAAATGAAAATTAAATCATCATTTACTCACCCTGGTGTTGTTCTAAATCCGTATGCCCTTCTTTCATTTTCGGACCATGAAAAGAGATTTGAACAAAAATGTGCCACGCGCGCTTGTCTATAAAATGCCGGTATATGGTGATCAATGTCAAGCTTTTAGAAAAGACGCAAAAGTATCACAGAATGGTCCCGTGTGTGATTTTTTTTTTTTTTCCCTTCGGAGTGAACTGCGATGCTAATAGTCTCATGAATGCCCAGTCCTCCACAGAGACCAACGGCCAAGTCAGAATATTCGGTAAATAATGTTAAATTGGAACACTTGGAATATGTGGCTTGTTTCGCACTCTGTGATACTTTTGCGTCTTTTTTAAAAGCTTGATGTTGATCACCTTACACTGCCATTATATGGACAAGCACGCGTGGGACATTTTTTTTGAATGTGGTCCAAAAAAGAAAGAAGGGTATACAGCATTCGGACAACACGTGGGTGAGTAAATGATGGCTTCATTTTCATTCTTGGGTAAACTATCCGTTTAACTGCTGGACTGGAGTGGTGTGGATTACTTGTGGATTATTGTGATGTTTTTATCAGCTGTTTGGACTCTCATTCTGACGGCACCCATTCACTGCAGAGGATCCATTGCTGAGACACTGATGCAATGCTACATTTCTCCAAATCTGATGAAGAAACAAACACATCCTAATCTCAGATGGCCTAAGGGGGAGCACATTTTCAGCAAATTTTCATTTTTGGCTGAACTATTTCTTTAATGTCGTACTGTGTTAAATGTTATTCAGGCCAGAGAAACACATCCAAAACGGTGTTTCTACATTAGGCTTTTTACTCTATTATATTAACGACACTGACATCCATAACTCAGTTCCTGTTCTGAATAAATCATATTTCCTCTGAAAACGCACCCGTACACCAGAACAGATCAGGCACAGTAATAAGGGATGTTGCAGTAAACCAATCCCACCGGCCAGGTCAATAACCCGCAGAAGGTTCCTGCATTATGATCTTTAGTCTGCGTGTCATTCCAGACTGCAGGATGTTCTCGTCAGTGAAGCCGTTTGAAGGGCAGCAGTTTTCAGCCCTGAGGAAACAGTGCCAGCAGAACAGGACTCTGTTTGAAGACCCCGTCTTCCCCGCTGTGGACCAGTCGCTCTTCTTTCATGGAAACCGCATCGGAAAAGTCACCTGGAAGAGACCAAAGGTAAGGAACAATCGCCACTGGTGCAAATAACGTGAGTCATTTGTTGCATAATATGAACCCGCTGCTGCATTTGTGGTGTAATCTATATGAATTTTGTGTGAAAATGTTGGTCTATTTTCCCTATTGTATTATTAAATAAACCGAATTTTGTTATAATCAGATGTATTCCGTAAGTCTGGTCATTTAACACTTAATGTTCAGAATTAAACTTGTAATTAGTCTATTTTACCACCTTTTTAAAAAAAAATTTTTTTTTTATAAAATTATTTTATAATCCAATTTATTTTATAAATCTGATAATTCAACACTTGACGTTCAGGATTACAGTATGAAACTATATATTTCCCTATTTTATTATTTAAAAAAGTCTAATTATTTTATAATCTAATTTATTTCACAAATCTGATTATTTAGCACCTACACTTCAGGATTAAAATATGAACTGAAAGTATGAGCAAAAGCAGAAGTTAGACTTGATAATATATGATATAACTATATGATAATTAGTGCCCTTTCGTAACATTAATGCACTTTAATAATTTGAAGGTTGGTTTTATGGCTGGTTAGATTAAACCCATCACGTCGTCATAACTCCTATATCTGATCTGTGTGTGTATGGAAGGTGTGGCTCTTTTGGCCGTAGATCTTGTGTAACTGGACACCGTGTGTTACTTGCACGTTTAAACTCATGCCAGATAAACGTGTTTATAGTTGAAACAATACCCTCTTCATACAGTCCCCTGCTCGACTCCTTTTTAATGCTTGAGAATATTATATTTAGCCAAAGATTATAATAGTTATTGTTTAGAAATGTGCATGAGTAAAGGTTTGTGTACAGGACTGGTTTCCTGTAGCTGTCATAACTGGAGACTTGTGTGGGATAAATAAATGTTTTCTTAGTATATAAATAAACCTGAGTCAAGATGTATGTAGACCATGGCAAAAATAATAAATAAATCTGTTTTCATATGCAATGTTCAGTACACTGCCGTTTAAAAGTTTGTGGTATATTAGTATCTTTGACCAGCTTGTGACACATCTTCAGAAATTCATAAATAAGCACAACCCTTTAGTGCAGAAGGTCTTTAAAATGATGAAAAATGTAAATTGTATCTAATCTCATGACTTGTACTGTATGAAATGTGTTGTTTGTTTCTCTTGTTTTCAGCAGCATTTAGCTAAAGCTCATCACACAAGCCCTAAAGATCTTTGTCAATTAAAACTGAATCCAGTCCATTAAAGGCTCTGGGAAAAATCTTTTTGGCAATCCATTAACTAGTTAAAAATGCATGAGGTTTTAAGTGATCATTGAGTGGACTGTCATTGTTAGATAAGCTTAAAGCTTGCTTTATCTAGTGAGCGGCTAATGTAACTGTGTTTGTGCAGTGATTTTAATCTGTAGATTTTTTTTGTTTTTCTTCGCGTTTTATCATCTGCCAGGTGAAAATGGTGCATTTGATCACTTGGTAAAATAACAGCACACCTCTCTTCAACAAACTCACAATTTGAGGAATCTTTCATGTCAGGAACACAAACATTACACCCAAAGTTTAATACTAAGTATGCTCAATAGTAAACACCACTAGAAAGGTCACACAGAGCAGCATGTTTGCATTTAGGGAGCATCGCTTCATATATTCAGGACACTCCCTGTTTCTCCATCCATCATGAATGACGGTGTTCTGTTCAGGCATGTGAGTGCAATGTTGTTGAACAAGTGCTATGCAATCTTCCGCCCACTAGAAACCTCCTGTGTCATGAACTGCTGAAGTCTGTTCGGCCGGTGGCAAAACAGACCTTCACTCATGATTGAATGTCACATGAAGCAGCTCTTCCTCACTGCAGCTGACGTTTTCTTTAGCATCTGAAATGATACTTGAGTAAAGTTGGGGAGGGAGAAAGAATGTGCAGCTCCATGTTTGTAATGTAGGGATGCATACTTTGGCCCAAATTTTTTAAAATTATTTTATCATTATTATATCAGTATGACTATGTAGTAGTAATAATAATAATAATTATTATTATTATTATTATTTCATTTTGATTAAAGCTGCAGTCCGTAACTATTTTTGGTTAAAAATGATCCGATATCAATATTTGAGCAAGTACATAACCAGCCAGAGTTCGAAACTATCACCTTACTTTAGCCCGATTCACAACGGTTATCTTATAATAATGTTTTCTAATTTGAGTGGTACGGGAAATTTGAGCATGGCACTGCATCATTACGTCACGTCTATAAACATAAAGTTGTCCCGTCTACTAGGCTATCGCATGTGAGGATCCTGCAGGTGGCCGATCGTTTATAGCCTTTTCTCACAGCAGCCAGAATAATTAAATGTATCATTTTGAATGCGGATTGTAATCCAGAAAGGATTATGTGTTTATGAAACACATGTGAATGAAATTAAATGATATTCCAGTTTTAAATGTGCTTCTGATTACAGATAGCCTGGGATTACATAAGATTTGTATTTTAAAGACAACCAGTTCGAAGGGAGCATAATTTAGCTTTTTGGGTTAAAAGAATGTCTTAATATGAAATTCGAGTGGTATGACAATTAGAGATTAGACTGTGCAGAAATTGAAATCTACTCGCTTATACACACTATACTCATAGTCATGCAATGCTGATGTTGTTAACATTAACAATTTGAGAATAAATTTAGATTCAATCACCATTGGTAGCGCGATTTATTGTAATGCTTTTTTCCTCAGTTGGTCAGAACAAACGTGGCAGACTTGTTACTTACTTGTTCAGATGACAATATACGGTGAAAATGCTTATTTGAGTCATATATTCCAAGACGTAGGCTAGAATCTGTGATTGCGAAGTACAGTAAATATCCACACCACTGCGGTGACTGACCACACATACTCCTCAAAACATTAGATTCATCCGCGCTGGAGCCGTGCCGGAGCACAATCCACGCAAGCTAGATAATTCTGCACACAGCTGCAAACTTTGTAATAAAACAATTTCACTGTAAAATAAAAGATTAATAATGATACTAATAAAATATTATTTCGATATATTATAATAAGTAATATTAAAATATAATATAATTAATATTGGTTTTATTATTAGTATTACTATTAACAACAACAACAATAATAATACATTATAATTATTATATCTTAAGTTCTTAATTTTCAGCCATTAAACCGTCAATCTTTTATTTTACTGGAAAACCTCAGGAAACCCTTAAAGTTTCTCCTTTGTTGGCAACAGGTTCATAAACACTTCTTACAAATCAGGTGAAATGAATGATGCACGTTGCATTCCCAAATGCATATGTGCCTAAATGTGATTATATTATATTTATTTAAATAAATCCCAACCAATGTGTTTTTGATTTTGTTTTAATTAATCATTCAATGCCAGTCTGTTGAAGTCCACATAAAATAAAAATGCTCCTCAAGCTCTTGTTTTTTTTTCTTCTTTTTTTTTTTTTTAATATCTTGAATTTCATGTTGACTTTTAACCAGAAAAACCAGCTTCCCCATGTTTGTTGCATTTCAGGAGAAAACTAACCCTTAATCTAAGCTTTTAAATGGTTAGTTAGAACATTAGACCATTTCAGCAGTCATTGTACCTCAATGACACACTAAACAGGTTAATCAAGAACAGCAAAACATGTCTGGATTAATTAGAGGTGACAAAAACACACTGCCCTGCGGTCCTTCTGTAACTGGACCCTGTTTAATACATGTGTGAACATAGAGAATCATGGGAATCTCTTTGTCTGTCTGTATAACAGGAGCTGTGTGAAGACCCGCACTTGTTTGTGAATGGGATCAGTGCTCATGACCTGCACCAGGGGCAGCTGGGAAACTGCTGGTTTGTGGCGGCCTGTTCCAGTCTGGCCTCCAGAGAAGCTCTGTGGCAGAAGGTGAGTTCATGCCATTAGTGCTTAGTTACCATGATAACTTCTACCTAGTTACCACTCTTTGTAACACTTGTAACTTGTCATGTTTTATGAGATACTGTAATAAAACAGTATAAAAAATTAGAGCATGATGTGAGCAACGCTAAGGTCATTTCCCAGGAAATGCATGAGCTGATAAAATGTGCATCTTAAATGCAATGTGAGTTGCTTTGGATAAAAAATAAATAAATCTGCCAAATGCATATACGCTACTGGTTGAAAGTTAGGAAAGGATCATGCGACTCTGAAGACCAGCTGCTGAAAATTCAGTTTTGCATCACAGGAATAAATTGCATTTTAGAATATATTACAATAGACAACAGTTATTTTAAATTGTAATAATATTTCAGATTTTTACTGTAATTTAAATTTTAAAAAAGCAGTGTTGTAGAGCAGAAGAGACCGCGTTCATAATTATTCTACATTCAATCCAAAATTTTAATTTAAAACAAATACATATTAATTAAAATAATAGCTCAAACAGAGCTCAGGAACTCTTGGCGAATTTTAATTTCTTGTTTTGACGCCAGTGATGGCTAATGCTAATGAAGCACCTTCACTGGAACTAAAATAACTAATTATGTTGTTTTGTCTGAAACACTAATATAATTAATATTGGTTTTATTATTAGTATTACTATTAACAACAACAACAATAATAATACATTATAATTATTATATCTTAAGTTCTTAATTTTCAGCCATTAAACCGTCAATCTTTTATTTTACTGGAAAACCTCAGGAAACCCTTAAAGTTTCTCCTTTGTTGGCAACAGGTTCATAAACACTTCTTACAAATCAGGTGAAATGAATGATGCACGTTGCATTCCCAAATGCATATGTGCCTAAATGTGATTATATTATATTTATTTAAATAAATCCCAACCAATGTGTTTTTGATTTTGTTTTAATTAATCATTCAATGCCAGTCTGTTGAAGTCCACATAAAATAAAAATGCTCCTCAAGCTCTTGTTTTTTTTT